AGAAAAGCATTTAAGTGTTGGATCATGCCAGAAATATTTTTATAATTAGGTCCATTAGAATCATCCTTATTAATGTGTTAGAAAGACAAGCATCAAGGGTTAATCACAACACAGTTTGTTACTATTAAGTTTCCAAACTTAGTTCAGTGAATACATAAGTAGAAATAAAATAACACAGAAATCAATTATTCTCCCAAGAACATCATTTTCAATGCACTTTGTAGATGACTGCAAGAATGAGGAATACCACTTTCTTCACTAAAACTGGGGGCAGCTGAGCAAGGAACTAGCTAGCAGCCATACAGAGCAAGGCTAGGTTTTATTGTGCATTCACATTGTCCTACTGCACAGTACGCTTTGCATAAGCAAAGGAAAGAAATGAAAAAAGAAACTGCTTCGGGTTTTCATAAGCCACGACTTGAGTCCCTGCATCAAAGTTACTGGTTATGTAAATCCAAAATGACACAAGTCTTGCCCTGAACCCCTTCATTCTGTGACGTACCATCAACACCATCTGCAGTTTCGCTTTCTTCTTCTTCTTCTTCTAGCATTTCAAAAGGAGTCATTATATCATAGAGAAATGAGAGGAAACCATAAAACCAATCTGAACTTTCCTCTGCTAAAATATTAAGGACTTCCTCAAGAGAATCAATATTTTCATTACTGCCATCTTTGGTCAGGCCTACATAAGAATAAAGGAAGAGAGAAAGAGAAAATAAGGAGAGCAGTTAGGCTGAAAAAGGAGATTGCGGAAGGGTGATCTCAATAAGACGTGCATCATAGTCACAGAGGTTTACAGAGAAGGTAACTGGGAAAACAAAGAAATCAATGAAGATGCACACCTCACAATCAACTCTCAATCGTGTGTAGTAAAGGGAGGCCACCTCTGACCAACCGTCTTTGTCCTTCTTGCATTAGAAAATTTGTAGTTGAAAATCTGACAAAATTCTATCAGCCCAAATCAATAGACAGTAAATGGGAGAATCGATTGACTGTCATGGAAAGACTGAATAAAGGCAGTGTCAGAGAAAATAGACATACACTTCTGACAAGCTCCAGATTTGCTCAACTACCACCCACTTATTATCGAGAGTTGATTATACAAATATATATATAAACAGTCGTCACTGAAAGTAGAGATGCTCACCGTCCTCAAACTTTTCCACCTAGGACCTGAAGTTAACTTACAACACTCCAGATTCAATATCAAAATTACTGTTTATAGCACCCACAGATGGGTACAGATGCACTGAAATGATGGAACTCCAATAATTTTAACACCTGGATTTTAACATTACATGTATTGGCTCTTTAACACTCTTGCAATTGACTCATGGTCCTGTAATTCTGAACAATAAGAGCCAGCTAATAATAATAATTCACTCATCCTACTGATAAGGAATTTGATTAAAGCATTAGCCAGTCATTTGTAATAGGAACATTTTAAATTTCTCCCTGCATCAGTCCATGAAATAAGCTTCTACTAAAAAGTTATTTTTTATTTATAAGTACTGGACCCAAAACAGGACCCCATGATACAAAGAAATCAAAGTATATGTTGTTTTTATTGGTTCTTATTTGTTATTGTTCTTATGAGGAACTGGTAGGTCAACTGGCTCCAGTAGGTATCAAAAATCTCTGAATATATATAGCAGTATTTCCTCATTTTGAAGAAGAAAAACATGGTAGGAGTTCTAGTTGTGAGAAATGTCAAGACAAAGCTTCTCCAACTAAAACCACCTAATTCAGCCTTTCACAATGCTCAATATCTCCATGTTGCTTATCTACCAGCAGTGAAGACATAATAATAGGGCAACTACTTTGTTTTAAAGATTACAGTGAATTTTCTTCTCTGTTAATCAACAGACCACTTGGAGGATGTGGGGGAACACACTTGCACCTGTTATTTAAATTATTTTTAAATGTTTTTTCACTGAATTAAACAGGTAACAAATGCTACAAACAGAAATCCATATTTCTACACAAGTCTCTGGAAATAACTGTTTCTTCTTTCTGCTTTAAAACATATGGCTGCATATTTTGTACAAATATTTTTACTTTTCTCCATTTCCCCATATAATCATTTCCAAGTACTGAATAGAAAAGGTAAAACTTGTCCACCCTTCTGTGTGACAAGTGTGCAAAAAACTAGAAGAAAACTATAACCCAACCATCCAACCTCCCTGTCATTCCTAAAACGAATGTGCTATTCCAAAGAGAAAAAGACAACATTCTGTATATGAAATTTCCTTCACATCAACTAAGTGGCGATCCCACCAAGCAGCAACATGTCAGTTTGGCTGGGCAGGTTCCAGCCCTTTCCTTCCTTTGGCTTGCTTACACATCTGTCCAGTCTGTGAACAATCAACAGGGGTCTAGGAATTGTGGGCTGGCTCCCTTGTGTGTTCCACCCATACCTGATACACGGTGCCAGCCAGGTGCTAGTCATGGAACAAAAAGACCACCATGCAATCCTTAGGTGGTGTTATTCTAAGATGATGTCACTCTCAGCATTCAGTCCCTGGATCATTTTCCTGTTGATTTCATTTGGAAAACAAGTTTTTAAAGAATACATTTCCAAGCAATGTAGTTCTCACTAATCTAAACTAAGAGCAAAGATATTTTTATTTTGGATAATTTGGTTACAAAGTATGAAGCTATATAAAAAAGAACAGGCTTAAGTATATATTCAGAAGGGCCTTGGCCAGAAATGATAAAAAGTAATCATAGCTACAGATTCTGAATTATTCATACATATTTAATTCTTTTTTTATATTCTGCAAAAAAGCAAAGCTTTAAAATGCAAAATAAATCTATAAATATGAATGTATCCTTTCCCTAACATTGGTAATATTTACACATACGCAGATTTAAGAATCTAGAAAAAAAGTAGGAAATAAATGGCAAACACAAAAGTTCAATGTCTCTCAACTATTACAATAGCTATTATGCCAAGCTCTCCACTAATCTCTGTTCTATCTTCCTTCTTCCACTTGAACTCCTTGTCCCTTAATGCAAAGCCAAAATCCTTAGGGTTCAAGCTTAAGTTTTTAGCTGCCTCTCCAGTAAGAATGTACCCAGGATACCTGGCTTCTTTTGGGTATATGTTCACTGTGTTTCCTCCTCCCATAGTCTCTCTCTGAATATACACACCTGTTGAAGTCTATGCATTCCCAATAATTTCACCAGTAGCAGAAGCATAACTTCCAGCAATCTCACACACCAGAAAAGAACATCGTAACATTCAAGTTAAGGCTGCAATTCATGCAGAGAATTCAAACAGGGTAGAAACGAGGGTAGAAGTGATAAGTGAGTTTCACAGTTCACCTTTGGTTTGTTTTATCTTTACAAAAGCCTTAAGCCAACTGTGCAAGTAGTACATGTATACAGTAAAATTGTTTCTGTATCTTGGCCTTGCCTTCCTTTGTGTAACAATTATTAGATAACCAAAATTACCCTGAGATTCACCAAAGCTGGTCCTGCCTCCAGAACAACACTTCTTACAAACAAAGAATGTTACAATTTGCCTAGCTAACATGGGTCTTCCCACAAACAGCAATTTTCATGTTACAATTAGTTAACTTCTTAATGGCTAGTTAAGGAAAATGGCTAATTAATGGAAATAAACTTCTGAAACCTAAAATACATTAAAAAGTTATTAATATAATAGTTTGTTACAGAAATCAGTATGTTCTCTATAAGAAACACAATGTTGTAAGTGTTAATGGTTGATATTTCCTAACTAATAAAACTTGATAGTAGGTTTTAAGAAAAAATATTAATAAAATACAGTGGACATTTCTAAATATGAGAGAAGTTAGGCCCACATGAAGTTATCTTTAAAATAAAAAGCTTTGGGGCCTGCACTGTGGTATAGCGGGTAAAGCTGCCGACTGCAGCACTGGCATCCCATATGGGTGCCGGCTCAAGTTCCGGCTGCTCCACTTTTGATCCAGCTCTCTGCTATGGCCTGGGAAGGTAGTAGAGGATGGCCCAAGTCCTTGGGCCCCTGCACCCACATGGGAGACCTGGAAGAAGCTCCTGGCTTTGGATCAGTACAACTCTGGCCGTTGTGGCCAAGTGGGGAGGGAACCAGCGGATGGAAGACCTCTCTCTCTCTTTCTCTCTCTCTGCCTCTCCTTCTCTCTGTGTAACTATGACTTTCAAATAAATAAGTCTAAAAAAAAAAAAAGGTAAAATAAAATAAAAAGCTTCATTATTCAGAATTAATCATTTAAAGTAATTAATGGAGTAATCATTTATAAACAAGCAAATTAACAATCATCTTGATACATTAAGTTGCAAATAATTTTATTTCCTTAACATGTTGGGATTATAGTCATTTAAGGATTTAATATTTTTATAGAAACTCAAATTTAGATGCATTATGACAGAATTACATAGAAAATTTCATTAATGTTAGGATAGTACAAAAATTTTACGGAAATTTTATAGTAAGTTTCCACTGTCAAGTAGCAAACACTGATTCCCACTAAGTGGTCATAAAAAAAGCCACATAAACTGAGGTAAAATTAATAAGTTCTTACGTTTAATCAAAACTGAAATTCTTTTTTTCATATATAGAATTTATTGTCTTAAAAGGAAGTGAAATTAATCTGAAAATTTAGCTGGTGGCAGATGTGACAGATCTGCCCATTCTTTCATAACCATAAATATACAAAATAGTATGCCTACCAAGAATTTGTGTTATTATTCTACCAAGCTTTGTGTTTAATGTCATGCCATATCCACTGTTTTTCTAAGATTTTGATATTGTTTTAATACATGTTATGCTAAAGCAAAGGAAATGATGCTGATTAATGAGGAGAAATACATATCTCCGCAGTTATATTAGCTAAAAGTTACAGATTAAAATTAGCACTATTGTTTCTAGTAAGCACTTCTGAAAAATGAATACAAATAACATAAATATTATTAAAGCAAAATCATTGTTTTGTTTCCAGTTTTTACCACCACTAACAAAAAAGATGTGTACTTGCCTAATAAAGCTTTGGCATCATCCACATCAAAATCTCCATCACCATCAGCGTCATAGACTCCTAGTTTTCCTACAAATGGAGAGAAATGATGGATATATAAAGAAAACACAAATTTAAGAAGGTATTATCATTATTGCAGTACTGTCCATCAGACAAAAATGTTACCAAAGTAACACCTAGTTCTCTAGTCCTGCAAAAGAGTACCACCTAAAAATGATAGAAATTCACTTAGCTATTCAGGAAGTAGTCACCTAACAAATTCTAAGAAATATAACTGAGATGATATTGTCCTTAAAGGTTTAACAATACCCTGATTTAATCATTTCAGGACAGCTTCTTATACTACTAAAGATATTTTTGGTAAAGTTTTTAACACACATGAAAAATAATATTGGCACATTTCTTTTTTCTTTTTTTTTTCTTTTTTTTTTCTTTTTGACAGGCAGAGTGGACAGTGAGAGAGAGAGAGACAGAGAGAAAGGTCTTCCTTTGCCGTTGGTTCACCCTCCAATGGCCGCCGCGGCCAGCGCACTGCGGCCAGCGCACCGCGCTGATCTGATGGCAGGAGCCAGGAGCCAGGTGCTTTTCCTGGTCTCCCATGGGGTGCAGGGCCCAAGCACCTGGGCCATCCTCCACTGCACTCCCGGGCCACAGCAGAGAGCTGGCCTGGAAGAGGGGCAACCGGGAGAGAATCCGGCGCCCCGACCAGGACTAGAACCCGGTGTGCCGGCGCCGCTAGGCGAAGGATTAGCCTAGTGAGCCGCGGCGCCAGCCACTTTTTTCTTTTTTTGACAGGCAGAGTGGACAGTGAGAGAGAGAGACAGAGAGAAAGGTCTTCCTTGTCCACTGGTTCACCCTCCAATGGCCACTGCAGCCGGTATGCTGCGGTCGGTGCACCGCACTGATCCGAAGCCAGGAGCCAGGTGCTTCTCCTGGTCTCCCATGCAGGTGCCGGTCCCAAGCACTTGGGCCATCCTCCACTGCACTCTGGGGCCACAGCAGAGAGCTGGACTGGAAGAGGAGCAACCGGGACAGAATCCGGTGCCCCGACCGGGACTAGAACCCTGTGTGCCGGCGCCTCAGTCGGAGGATTAGCCTAGTGAGCCTTGGCGCTGGTCAACACATTTCTAACATGAAGTTTTATGTATTGCAGTATGAGACTTCATTACACTATCAATATATAAGCATACAGAACAAGCAAGCCTCAAATAAAGATGAAATGTAAATAAATGAACAGAGTATTAAGTGCTAAAAACAACAGGGAAGTAAATTTTACATTTCAAATAATAACTTACAACAGAAATATCTTGAATTAACCCTAAAAAATATAAAGTCACCATTCTGGAAATAAAGTATATAAAACTGCAGGCTTCCCAAAATTACAAAGGAAAACTTAGGGTTATCCTACTTAAAATTTTAATTAGCACCGGCCATCTATTACTAAGGGGGAAAGAAAGGCTTAAAACAGCTCTGCTGTGTAGACAGTGCACCAAGACCTTGCTCCTCAAGAACAGCTCCTAAGTATTTGGAGGCTTTCCTGCTTTGTCATCAGGAAAGCTGTTTTGCATTTCAAATGAGTCACCTACATTCAATACTGAAAAAAACATTCTAAAATCAACAGTTGCTAATTCATCTTTGGACAATGACTATGAAGAAACACAATGTACAGGAACATTTTAAACAGCATTCACAAATATCTACAGCATTAAATTCTGTTTCCACTGCTTTAATATAAAGTATATTAAGATTGCGTAAGGGCAGGCAGAAATTTTGGTATGGAGTACCCACCACCGATTTTACCTTCTGAAAGCCCCAGCTATACTTAGGTAAATAGTGAACTTGCTATAGAGAAGTCTGACTTAGAAAGCACACACACATTACAAATGGTAATATTAATGGAGAAGTAAGGACAATATCATTTTTGCTGCTAAAGAAATGAAAAGTGCTGCTCTGTAGGTCAAAGATGTCCACAGAATTGCATTCAAATAACACTGAGCAGATGGAAAATACCATCACTTCCTGACACACAGGAGAAATTGTTCTTACCACTTAACATTTTCTGATGCAAATGATGACTAAATTAGTGGAAAAGGGAGGAAGACTTTGCAAGGGTGAGGAACCGCTGGCCTGTGGGCCTTATAAGGGCTGAAAAATCACTTGGTCTGGTCCTGCTAAAGCAGCTGCAGGCAGGACTTGAAATTCAACAAATCAATAGCAGACTAATTTTTAAGTCTATAATTCTGTATGGCCTGTAAATGATGTCATAGATATCCAAATGTCGCTTGGCATAAAAAAGGTCCCCCACCCCTGATTTAGAGACCCACACAAACAGACTTAAAATGCATCTCCAATGGCCTACCTTGAAGTACCTCTGACAAGTTATAACGGAAGTCCTTTGCTTTGGCTGCATGCATGTAAAAACATGAAAATTATTACTTATGTTTAAAGGTAAAAATGTCTCAAATCTCTTCTGTTCTTTAACTTGCATTCCCTTACGATGTTTCATGATAAGTCAACAAAAGCACAGAATTGTTCAGAAGTTTGTCTCCAAACTAGAAGTCTCCCTCTGTTAGTCTGAGTCTATCCAGAGACACTTTCCTTAACGTGATTAAAAAAAAAAACTTCAGCGAAAGACAGGTAACAACATGTGAATGTGTTTTTCAATTCTTGCCTCCTGGCCCCCAGAAAGACAACTGTAATCTGCCAGAAAAGCAGAGGCACAGGAGGTTGGAGGGAAGGGGGTGGGTCTTCTGTGCAACGCAGTCCATGTAGGAAAGTGGGCGTCTTTTCTAGTGACGGGTCCACATCTTTCACGGGATTACTAGAGATGAAGACTGTTGTTTACAACAGGCAGAAAAGGCAGCAATCTGCTGAGTGGAAAAGCAAAATGGAGCACATCCATACTATGGGATGTCACACTCAGCCTTATGCTCTATTTTGCAAAAAAAAAAAAAAAAAAAAAAGAGCAGACAAAAAAGTCACACATGTATGACTCCAATCATACAGAACTTCCAGGAAAGGCAAAACTACAGATAGAGAAATGTTTGCCAGGAGAGGCAAGGAGATAAAGAACTGGGTGTTTCAGGGAAACCGGTAATAGAAATATTCTGGAATTAAGAAGGATGATGGTTGCCCTAATGATAAATACACCAAATAAATGAAACTGGACATTTTCAAATATTTACAAAACTGAATATCATGTTATATGAATTTTAACTTGATTTTAAGAAGAGATATTTGGTTAAGTGAGAAAAAAAGAGGGATGTGTCTCCAAAAATTATAAAGAACCGTTAATGTAACAAATTAAAAAAACGACAGTGATTATGGGGAAAGAGAAAGGAGAAAGGGTAAAGTGATCAGAAATTCCATGGCAATTGCCTCAGAACACCACACAAATCACACATCACACACATACAGACTCACATCTTCCACTCACATGCATCCCAGCACCAACACAAACACACATATCCCAGCATCTACACAGACACACAGTCACATTCACACAGATACATGCACACATACCCATATCCCAGCACTTATACATGCATATGTCAAACCCATACAACCCATATCAACACCAACACACACACACATACACACACACACACACACACCAAGGGGCGTACTTTGAAACCCCTAAGGAATGGTTTCACAAATTGTGTGGTTATGATCCATTAGTGGGTTCTTGAATAAATTCAGTGGCTCATAACCAAGTAATTGAAAAATTTATAAAATGACAAAATTGAATAGAAATTACATAGTGCTACATGCAGTGAGAATGAGTGGTGCTTGTTACAAACTTCTCTGTTTCATATACATACAATATAAAGTATCTTTTTAAAAATACATATTACAGGTCATGTACAAAGTTCAAGTACTCCAAGGTAACACTGTTCACATTCCCTTTCGTTCTTACCCTACTGAGAACCACTGAAAGGCTCCAGAAATTAACAGTATGAAAAGTGTCCACAAATGTTTAAGTTAACTAAGGTTGTCACTTACCCTCTTACAAATTCAACAGAGAAGTCACATCACAATTCTTACCTAGCACTTCCTCATAATCAACAAGTTCAAACCAAACGACAGCTACTGATGTCCAGACTCCCAGCAATGCGATGACCATAAACCATGTGAAAAATGAGCTTCCCGAGAGTCCTCCTTTCCTCCCATTCCTGTGTCCATGCTTTGGCTCTGTTTAGAAATAACAGAAATGTAAAATGTCATTATAAAGAAGAGAATACATTTTTGCACAACTTTTTTCTGAATAAATTATGTCTCCAGTTTTCTGATAGTACTGATAATGGTAAGTCATTCCAAAAAGTTTTCACTGAAATTCTCAAAACATATTATACAAAGTAAGAATTCTGGAAACAGGAACACTTCTGCTTAGACTCAAAACTATGTAAACAAAACCCTAATTCTGAACTAATAGAAGATATGAACTACTAAAGGCTAACCAGTGAATATTAAAAAAAAAGGGGTTGAAAAAAATATGAATATTCCTTAGTTCTACATTCCTTATCAAAACTCCTTGAATAAAACCTCTTTCAAAGTTCAGAACACATCAACTTAATGAAATTATATAAAAAGGTAGCCAAATCCTTTTATGCATGCTAATTCCTGTAGGATTTTAAGTGTCATGTGAACTCTCACAAAAGAAAACATGTTCTTATGGAGTGGGAAGAAAAAAGAAAACTACAGGAAGTGGAGAGCAGGGACAAGGAGCAGAGGAACAGCACATCAACATGCACGGTCTCGCTCCCGTGCAAGGTCCAGGAGCGCCTTCACAAGTGGGCTCAACGCAGCAAACAGCTTTGTAACCTGCCAACCACCAAGCGTCCCTTATTACACTTGAGACGCTTTAACACGCCCTCTATTCTTCTGGAAACATTCTTCTGACAGCCAAAAATAAAACGACGGAGGTCAAGTGAGAGTCATAAAAAATTAGTCAACACTGTCCTTAAAAGAGAAGACCACATGATAAGTAAAAAGGATATGCCATATCTGAAAATGGCACGTAAGAAAACGTTTCAGCAACCAGATAGAAAAGCAGGAGACGCCTGCACCCACGTAGCCAGCCGGACCTCTTTAAAATGCATTCACGTGCTTTGCCACAAGCGCTCCTCGCAGCATTGTGCCCCTGTTTCTGCAGAAGGCATTTCTGGATGTTTATGCAACTGTTCCTCCCACTGCAGGACATCTGGCACCGCTGGTTCCCCCTGGACCCAAAGGCAAGTACTCCTAGAGATGATGACAAAAACACCCCCAAACGGCTCCACGTGTCCGTGGGAAGGGCAGTGCCTGGCTGAGAACCTCTGTGGGTGAGGACAGGAATAATCATGAGTTTTACAGAGGGAAGATGCTGGGATTCACCTCAAGTCACCAGCACAAGCCCTGACCTATCTGGTCCTGAGTTCTTCAGCCGTACTGAGTGGGCCAGCTGGCAAGGTTTCAAAAGCCCCACTCACTCTCATCCAGCACCTGCCTTCTGACTTCTAATGCAATTCTAGCTATAGAACACCAGTGATAATTTTCAGCAGTTCAAGTCAAGAAAATACTGCCAATATATCCCTCTGAAAGAAAAACCAAAATTCTTATTACACAGGGTACCTACATTTTTAAAACCCACCATGAAATCAATTTTTCAAAGGGGGCCATAAAAATTAAATCAATATGAGTGTGTTTGTGTATGTGCATGTATGAATACTCAAGCATATAGATTTATACACCTACATCCAAATCTATAGAAAAATGACTAAAAAAGACAAATTTCCTTATTCAAGAGAAATTCCTTTTTCTAGTGTTAAGAGACCGGGAAAAGGGCCAGATTTCTGAATAATCATATGTTAAAGCCACAGGAATATATTTACCAAATAATGTACTTCATTTATAATATGATCTATATAAGTGTCTTCCTTCTGGGGCCAGCAATGCAAGGATCCCATTTGAGCATAAGTTAGAGTCCTGGCTGCTCTAGTTCCCATGCAGCTCTCTGTTAATGGCCCAGGAAAAACACAGAAAGATGGCCCAAGTGCTTGCCCTCCCTCCCAACCCATATGGGAGACCAGATGAAGCCCCTGGCTCTTGGCTTTGGGCTTGGTTCAGCCCTGGCCATTGCAGCCATCTGGGGAGTGAACCTGCCGATAGAAGATCTCTCTGTGTCTGTGTCTCTCCCTCTTTCTCTATAATTCTAACTTTTAAAATAAACAAATAAATCTTTAAAAAAAAGAGTCTTCCAAATACTGGCTATAGAAAAACATAATATGTATATTAAAATATACTTCTTAGGCACAGATTACATTATTGTTTATTATATCAAATAAAATGGGATTCACTGTTTCAGTGTCCAAATGTTACACGGTAGGGAGAGACTGGATAAAAATTTCTGCAATGTTGGGGGTGGGAGAGGTTAATCACTTCCAGTATTTTTATGCATCTTAAGCACATAAATTACAAAAGGAACTAAACATAATAAGCCACTGCTAAAATAAGAAGAAAAAAAAGACTGAAGTAGGCTCTGTGGACGCAAAGGCATTCCAGATTCAGTAGTAGTGCTGTGTGTTCATTTATTAAACTTCTAAAAACATGAAGATATTTTTTCTAAGAATGTATTTTGAAAAACCTTATATCTATATAACATATAGATATACACACATATGGATTTGCATAGAATACTAAATATAAAACTGCCTTTGAAAATATTCACTGACTTCCAAATATGGAACTATAATAGTTAAGTACTAAGAATGTCCACCCCCTTGTCTACTTACTGCTTGAGGATCAAATCCAAATTTCTATTTAAAATGAATGCTAGGAATACAGTCAAACTGGGTCCCTATCCCCTCTCAGACATTCTGTAATTAACACTCGTCTCTTGTACTGCTCCTCATTAAGTGGAAAATCACAAGCCTAGGTAAGCAGTTCATCCTTTCATTCACTGCACATAAAAGTCATGCGTCACTTAACCATGGGGACACGTTCTAAGAAATGTTTTTAGCTAATGTCACTGTTGTTCAAACAATACTGAATGTACCCTCACAAGCTCAGATGGCTATGACGGCACTAGGCAATATAATCGTGTGGGACCACCTTCCACTATGCAGTCCCTTATTAACTGAAACATCTGTGCAGCACATGGCCATCTTTATTCAGCATCTGTGTGCCAGGCATGATATAATGTTTATCCAAATAAGGTTTCAAAATGTATACAGCAGGAGGAGTACACTCAAGATACTATTCAAACAAAACTATTCTGAAAAAGCTAATAAAACAAAATAATAACTTGAACTCAAGGTTCAATTCTTTGTTTCTCTTAAACCTGAAGCAAGGGAGGAAAATTTCTGAGATTCTCAAAAGTGAAGCATCTTTTGTCCCAGTTAAATCGGTGATACTCATTACATTATTGACCTGTAACACCAAATGTAAGGAAAAAGTAGACAAAAGATTTTTCAAAATAAATTATGTAAATACGAGTGGGCAGCAAACAGTTGTTTGTGGAAAGTGGTATTGAGAGGGGACGTGAACTTGCCATGAAGTTTTTGAACCCCTTGTACATCATGCACCAAAACAGAGAGGGGGATTAGAAGAGAGAGGCAAGAGAAAGCCACACATGTGGTAGAGCTAACCTTCGCCTCGTATACCTCAATTTTAGATATGCCTCTTAGACTTTCAATCAAGTTTCTTAACCTGCTGTGCAAAACTACAGAATAGACTTGAGAGACAACCTAACTCAAATATGTAGAAGCAGCAAGCTGCAGCAGAGGGAAGGTCTATGCAGAGCACAGCACAGCACAGAATCAGAAAGCCAAGTGGTAAGGCAGCACCCACAGGACAGAGACTTGGTAGCCACTTATTGTGTCCTAAAATACTACTTTAACCTGATGATGCAAGAATGGTATAACCCATCTTAGATTTTTATCCAAAAATCATTTTTATTAAATGTATTAATCACTTTAAAAAGTAAATGTTGGGCCGGCGCTGTGGCGTAGCAGGTAAAGCCACCACCTACTGTGCCAGCATCCCGTATGGGCGCTGGTTCGAGTCCTGGCTGTTACACTTCTGATCCAGCTCTCTGCTATGGCCTGGGAAAGCAGTGGAAGATGGCTTAAGTCCTTGGGCCCCTTCACCCGCATGGGAGACCCAGAGGAAGCTCCTGGCTCCTGGCTTCGGATCGGCACAGCTCCAGCCAATGTGGCCATTGGAGAGTGAACCATCAGATGGAGGACCCCCCTCTCTTTCTCTCTCTCTCTCTCTCTCTCCTTCTGCCTCTCTGTAACTCTGCCTTTCAAATAAAAAAAAATTTTTTAAAAGGTAAATGTTACCTAGCTAGATTATTAAATTATTACCAATATTTTATCCATCCCTTTACAATATCAAATAAAAGACATAACTGTTACTTATTACTGTGAATACTTAACCTTATTACTGGTATTAATCCCATAAAGGAACAAAAAAAAAAAAATAACAACACCAAATTATAGAAGGGAGTCCTCCTTAGACACCATATTTGGGAGTACTTTTTTAACAACAGTAAAAATACACACTCTTGATGTGTCCCTCTGTGAATGTGGTATGCCTAGTCCCAAAGGACAGATCAGTTTCCAATTAAACTGAAGAAAGCACAGTAAGACAAACCCTTCAAGAAGGCTCGGAACTCCCTAAGGAAACCTGAAACCAGTACTTTGTTCCAAAGGAATTCTGGAAAAATATCTACTCGTTCCCCTAATTTCTAAGATCAGCATTAACTCAAGAATCTTTCAGTCCATTCCTTTGCTCCATGTTCAACTTACAGTGGGTGAGGGGTGTCAAAAACATGGCTAGAATGGTATGATTCATTTTTCCATACGGTCCCGTCGAAAGCACCAGACTTGCAAGTCAGGGAATGCTCCTAGAAATGACCAAGCATACAGTTCCAACAGTCCAAAATGAAGACTCTCCAAAAATGGAGACTGGGCTGGGGACAACAGGTCATTTTATTTATTTGGTTGAGGAAAAGAAAACAGGAAATGTACCCAGCTCCAGAAACAGCTGTCAATTACTTAGCTGGCCTACCAGTAACTGAATTACAATTAACTGTTGACAAATTTTAGTTAGCACTATGCTGGCACTTCATATTTATTCATAAAGTCTATTTGTTTAGTTTTAAGAAACCACAGAACCTGTAAAGTAATTCATCAAATATTATTTTTCCA